GGGGGGGGAGGTCTCCCTGCTTGGGCATCCATGGCCACCAGCCCCCATTAAAGTGACTCAGGGGGTCTTTTTAAGCCAGAGGAGGGAAAGAAGTCCTCACCTGGAGCACCTGTTCCTGGCACGCCATCACCTCTTCCCAGGTTGATAAGAAAAGGACGTCCGCCCTCGGCACGGGGAGCTGATAGCAGCCCTCCTGCAGGCTGTCCCAGGCGCTCGGGCCCTGCTGGGAGGCATCGTCCCTGCGGGGGGGGGGGGGGGGGGGGGGAGGGTACGGGGGGGGGGGGGGGTCTTCTTTTAAAAAAATAAAAGCAGAAGGCATTCCCTATGCTTGTAAACAAGTCCCAGAGCCAAAACAGCGGGAGGAGGAATTGTACGCAGGCGGCCCAGGAGGGACGCGGCCCTGGCAGGTGTCGGCACCAAAGGTTGCTTTCCCTTCGGTCTAAGGACGGGGTGGAACAGGCCAAGAAGCCATCCCTGGAAACGGCCGCTCTTCTGAAACAAAAGCCCTGCTAGCCGAACGTGAGCCGGCTTCTTGATGAACTGGGGAAGCATCCCAACGTGGTGCCCACCCCCATCTGAAGACGGGCGGGTTATGCTCTTCACCATTTGGACCCCTTTCCCTGCGGGAGGGGCGCCTTGGGGTGCCTCAGACCTCCCTCTTGTGGGAGTCGAGAACCACCACCACGCCACCCAGAAGGGTCCCCCTCGGAGGGGGCTGGGAACCCTGGCCCCAAAGGCTGGAGGAACGAGGCAGGCCTTGCCTTGGGATTCCCTAGCCCTCTTGCCGGCCGCAGGGGAAGGACCTTCCTCGACCCTCTTCGCTACCTCTCCGGGATGGCTGGCTCGTCCATCCTGGCTGCCAGGCCAGGCGGCAAGCTGTCCCCCAGGAGTCTGTAGTGCCGGGCCCACTGGACAGCCACCTCAAGGCCAGCGTAACGGACCAGGAGTTGGACCAGCTGCTCTTGCAGCCACTGGTTGTCCTCGATGATGCCCTAGAAAGCAAGGAGAGAAGGGGTGTGTGACGGTGAGCAGGGAGCCAGCCCAGTCCCACCAGCCTTGCATTTGGGAGTCAAACATCCCAGGAAGGCAGACAAGACCCAGGTCAGGGAAGGCAAAGGCGAAGACCCCCCTCCCTGGGGGCTACATAAGCATTTTTGGAGCTACTTCTAATTGGGAGTGGGGGGGAACTGTGGACCTCCAATCCAGCCATGAGGGAAAGGGAAGGTCTTAGATTTGCCTGCCGCTCATTTTGCTTTATGCTTTCACGGAGAACTCTGCTTATTAAGGGTTTATTGCTCAGTCTCTGTTGTTTCCATACTTTCCTTTAAGCGCCTACTCCACCCCCAAACGGCCCCTACTCCCGTCTTCTTTGGGAGGAAAGGCTGCCCAGGAACACGCGCCTGTCCTTCCTCTCCTTCCGCCTTTCTGTGTGTGGGATTCCCAAGAAGCAGGCCAGCCTGAAACTGGAGCCCTGCATTCGGCGGCCTTTCCCACCGTTCCGGTTTTGTTTTACGGGTTCAGCACCGGAGGCGAAACACCGGCTGGGCCGCATTCCTCTCTCTCTCTCTCTCTCCAGCGACGAAGGAAGACACAGGTAACGTGTGGGAACCTGGCCTTTTCCCTGCTAGAGCCGCTGAGGCAGCAGGGCTGGGGCAACCCAGCGAGGAAGCACCAGCTGGGGGAGAGTGAGGGGGGGCGGGCAGCGTTCCCTCCTCTCCAGCTCCGGGCACGCCAAGGGGGGCGTCGCTGGCTCCAAGCCAATCAACCAGGCGGCCTCTGGCAAATATGGAGGGGGGGGAGGGGAATCCAGGAGGAGGAGGGAGGGGCTAATGGACAGGGATTGCTCGGAAGGGCCCAAAAGGTGAAAACAAAAGACCACCCCCTGCAAAGGAGTAAGGGAAAGCCGTCCCACCGGGGCCAGGAGGGTGGCGGAGGGGGCCTACAGATCACGCCCTGTCCCCCAACACCCTGATAGGCACAATGGCTTCACTTCGCCTTTTCCATTGGGGAATTCCTCCCTCCAGTTGCGGTCTGGGCAGCCTGCTTGCTACGGCCCCCATTTCAGCCGTGGTTTTTTTCCACCCACCACCCTTAAGAGGAGCAAGGCGGAGGACCTGGCACAGCGCCCCCCCCTCTGCCTGCTACTGTTGAGCCCCCTTGGGGGACGGGCAGATGCCGCCCCAGCCCAGCTCCATCCCCCTGGAGCTGCAAATAAGCCAGAGGAGGCTTGGCTTAAGACCGTTTATTTGAGGCATTTCCCTGGCTGCAGGCCAAAGCAGCAGCACACAGGAGGTTTGCAAGATCCTGCGAAGAAGCGGGAGGCTTCTTCGCAGAGGCGTTTTTCTCCCTCTTTCTAACCTCCCTTCAAGGCCCTTCGGTACGTCTGCCAGCGCTTTCTGTCGTCCAGCCATGCCCCAACGCTTGGGAAGGCAGACCGAATGCCCTTAAGACACTCTCAGCCTGGCAAGGCGTCCCTCAGCCCCATAATAAACCCCCTTCCGAAGGAAGGAGCCTCCTTCCAAGTCCTTCCCACTGGGTACGGCTGAGGGTCCCATTTGGCCACGTTGGAATAATCACGTTGCAAAGGAAACCCAAACCTGTGAGGTCACCGCGTGCCCGGAGAAGGAAAAGCGCGACACGACTACCTACAAGGGTGGAGGAACGGGGCGGTTGAGGTTGACGGGATGCCTAACGTCTCTGATTTAGAGAAAAAAACATTATCTGCATTGACGGCACGGACTTTTGGCGTAAAAGTGAACGTGCGGCCTGTGGTGCTGACGATGAGAATGCAGACGTTTCATCTACTTCGGCGCAGGAGACCCGAGGCAGAATCACAGGCCCCCCCTGCAATGACCCAGGGTTTGTTTCCGCCGTTCCCCGCAGAGCAAGACGCGCAGCTCTACCGCAATAACCGCTGTGGGCACCCAAGCCAAGCCAGCCACAGGGACCTACCTGGCCGGGAGCAAAATCGCACTGACCTGGATGTGATCGGACCAATTTTCTTGCGTCATGGATTTCTGTAAGAGACGTTGCAAAACGTCTTGTGAAGACACTGGACTGGAGCCTCCGTGGCCTCTCACTTCCCACCACATACCTCAACAAATCTCTTGTGGAGCAGGTACTTCAAGGTGCCCAGGTGTCGCTGGTTGAGAATATGGGGATAAAGCACTGGGGGGGGGGGGGGAGAGAAAGGTCAGAGGAAATATGAGAAAAGGGACCAAGCAGGGGTCATTCAACCACCTGCCCAGGTCCTTCAACCCCTAAGCTTGACTCTTGATTAAGTTGCCAAGGCTGGAGACCCCTGGTCTGGTCAATGGAAAAATAACCATTTATTTCGTAATCCTGAAGGACGTGCAGGGTCCGGCCAGAGGTTCTCTTTGGGCAGAAACTAGATCCTCGTGTTGGAAACTGGTCTCTCTGGTCCCTTGAGACTGTGGGACCCAGTTCCTCCCTCCTCTCTCAATCGGAAGCAACCCTGAGCAACCCCGGACTCCATCCAGCTCCCAACTGTCCCCCCAGAATGAGGGCTCCCCCCCCTCCCCACAGAACACATGCCAGCCGTGCCCACCTGGGTCCAGGCTGTACTTCTGCAGCAACCGGAAGGCTACTTTATTCATCGTCCTGTGGTTGATCTTTTCCGGCCACTTGCCAGGCAGGGCCCGATACTGTCTGAAAGGAACCCAAAGCAGGCGGAAGGAGTCAAGTCCGGCCAGCGAGACCCCTGGGCCTCTTGCCGGGGGGGGGGGGGGGGGGGCTGACCCTGGGCAGGGAATTCCCCTCAGCCACTTCACTAAGGAGGTGATGCCCCTGTGCGTACAAGGCACACACGCGCTCCCTCTCTTTCCCTCCCTCCACATGCTCTGATTCATCCAGGAGCGCAGAAGACATATTTGCAGGGCTGGGATGCTCTCGGTTCGTCCCGGTTCTATAGAACCGGTAGCCCCGAAGAGCAGCTGACACCAAACTGGTTCGCTGTGACAACTGTCTGACGGTCGTCTGTTTGGCTCACCCACCCGCCCGGGGTTTAGGCTGTCCTTTATCTGAGTGCCACTCATCAGCTAGAGAAGGTAAATGCTTGCTGGAACTGGTAGCACCCTCCCCGGACCGGTTGTTATGCCGGTAAGATCCCACCCCTGCATATTCGGGGCTTCTTTTGAATATTCACGCGGGAACAAGGATCTGGAGCACGTTTGCGTGGGGACCTTTGGGGCCTTTTGACAGGGGCTCGAGGGAGGCTCCCCTTCCTCACGTTAATTATGAGCAACGGTAAAGTCGGAGCAAAAGGGACGAAGAGGAGGAGGAAAGAATGTTTACTCTACTCCGCGGAGCAAATTTCGGGAAAGCGAGCAGCCATTTCCCTTTTTTTGCTGCAGGAACAGCTGTCTGCGGGAGGGGGAAATGCTGCTCCCCCAAGAAAGAGGTCCTTCCCCGGATGGGCTCCCAGTAAGCCCCCTCACCTAGCGAGGTCTTTGATCTGGAAGCCTGGAACGGACCAGGAGTCCAGGAGTTGCAAGAGGCTCTGCTGTAGCTCGAGGCTGCCTTCCACGTAAGCTTCGATGAGTTCCATTCTGTCCTGAAGCAGCAACGGGACGCACACCTAGGGCACGGAAGGCGGGGGGGGGAAGACGCACTGGCACTCTGCACTCTCTTTGGCCCAAAAGGCTGCGGGAGAGCTACCCAATTGGGCTAAACAGCCCCAAATGCCCCGTGTCCCTGCAGGTGGGACAGCTAGCACTTCAGGGAGAAGCGGGAAGGACGTCTGCATTGCGCGCGGAATTTTACCTTCTCAAATTCCAGGTCTGGTTGCAGTTTCAGTTTTATACTTAAAATAGCAGCCTAGGAAACAAGGAAAGGTGGGAGGAGAGTCCATAAAGCAGTGCAAAGAGTCAGCAAAAAGGGCTTTGTGCAAGGGTGGGATTCCACCAGTTCGTACCTATTCGCTAGAACCGGTTGTTAGAAGAAATTACTGGGCTAATCCTGTAAGGGAAGCAGGAAGGAAACATTCTGGTGTTGCTTACAGAAACTGCCTCTCCGGTAACCCTTATTACATTCTTGGCAGAACTAGACTTCCTGTCTCAGGAACTTCTCTGGAGTTTTTTCCCCTTCCTTTGTTGGTACTTTGCTTGTGTGGAGTGCATTCAAAATAAAATGGCACTGAAAAAAGTGAGTTATGGCCCTTTTTCACACTTACGACTGTTGCAGCATCCCCACAGTCATGAGAGGCCAGGCGAGGAGATGCGTGCCTCGATGTGAGTGATCTTGAGTTGGCCACGCCCAGCCAATAGCATGACCACCAAGCCACGCCCACCACCCAAGCCACACCCACAGAACCGGTAGTTAAAAAAAATTTGAATCCCACCCCTGGTTTTGTGGATGTATACGCATGCACACGTGCACACACGGGCTGGCCTGCTGGCATTTTTCAAGGCAGCTCCTTGGGGTTGGCAAAAATGCTCCCTCCGGACCCCTTCAAGCACAGCCAGAGGGCACCCTACCCCCCTCTCAGCGCGCACACATTTCAGAAGGGGCACATCTCCCTCCGAGGGACGTTGGCCCCAAAGAGTTACCCAACATTTTCAAGCACCAGTGACTGACCCCTCGCTGGTACTGTCCAGCTGGGCGATGGAACATCTGCAAACAAACAGCCAAGCTCCGAGGGCATGAAGAACTCCACCCGTGTTATCCACCTCTGGTAGGGCTATTCATGCGTGTGCTTGGCCCAGGAGCCTCTCCTGGCCCTGCCTTGACAAACAAAGCTTCCCGCACCCCAGAGATACAGGGATGCCCAGGAAGCGCTTGTGAGCCCAGGGGGTCTCTGGCCATTCGTTTGGAAGGGCGTAAAGTGACCCACCCTCCTTTAAACATACGGGGGGGGGATTTAAAACGCAGCGCTCTTCCACAGCTATCCCGAGCCTCCGAGACGAACCTAACTTTGCCCCCTCTGAAAAGCTGAAGACAACCAAAGGGGGGTGGGGGGTGGGGGTGGGGAAATGGAGACCCAAAGCCATTCCCAGGCTTCTATTTTGGAAATGAGAGTGAGAGGGGGAGGGAGGAGGCTGGCAAGAAAAGAAAAAACCACAACGGAGCAGCCTCCGTGCCGTTGTTCCCTTGCTGTTATTTTTACATACCCTCGGGGACTGGTTGCTCTCTGGAATCCAATGGGAACCAGCGAGGGCAGCTGAGAGTAAGGAGTGAGGGGATGCTTCCCCCCGTTGCAAATGGCTGACTAGCCGCCCATCTGCTTTCCTCCGTGGCCAGGGAGACCACCGCCAACCCGGGGAGACCCTCCCCCCCACACACACCCCCAAGGCTGCCGCCCCTTCCCTTCTTTCTGAGCCCGGCGACCTGAGGATAAATTCTCTTTCAAAACGGAGCCTCTGGGTGAGTGGGTGGGGGGCCTTCCTTCCTCCCCGCTGGGGATCTGGAGTGGTTCTGATTTCAGTCCCCCTTCTTCCTTTCACAAATGTGCATTTGTGAGTGTGCGTGTGCGCGCACACACACATGCAACCTCCAATCATTTGCCACCCTCTCACTGGGCTGCAAAGGACATTTCCTGCAGATCCAACTCCAAATTACTTCACTGAAAAGTCTGACTGAGGGAAGCCTTTGCCTCTCGTAATCCGAAAGGCCTTCCAAACCAGGGAGGACTTTTCCCAGGCTGCACCCTTCTTCTGAAGGGACCAGAACAGCTGAAAAACTGCTCTGCTCCAGGTAGACCACAGAAAGTCATCTTCCTCCTCCCAATCTCAAGGCACAAGCTGACACACACACACGCGCGCATGCTTTTGAAAGGCACAGATATCTTTTTTTTAAAAAACCTTTAGGAGCTCTTTAAAAAACTGTAAATAAAACAACCCAACGGACAACGGAGGGTATTCAGGCCGCCCCGGAGGCAGCCGCCGTTCCTCCAACAGGAAATATCGCGACACGTTAAGCCGCGGGACCCCCCCCCGCCAGTCAAAGCTGAAGGGACCTTCCGTGTCCTTGGCGACATCACGGGGGCACCGAAGCACGGCTGGTGAGGGGAGACCGGATTTCATCCTTCTTTGTCTTGCCACCTTCACATGTGTGTGTGGGTGTGGGTGGGTGGGTGGGTGGGTGGGTGAGAGAAGGGGATGCCAGAAAGGGCTGCTCAGGCAGGCACAGAGAGAGGCCCTTGGAGCAGCTGGCTGCAGCTAACTCAAGAGGGACACAGACTCCAGTCCCAGAGGATTCCCACATGGTGTCCCAAAGGAGCCTGGTAAGAGGGGGGGCTGCCCCCCCCTCCCCATCCACCCTTCTGCCCCCGCCCCCACCTGCTCCCCAGACCGTCCCAGAGGGAGAGCAACACTGCCCCCCGGTGGCCAAGCGAGGGCACCTCACCTCTTTGAACTTCCCCTGCTGGCAGAGCTGGTCGACGAAGCCCAGCAAACGGTGAGAGTCTGCAGTGTGGAGCTGATAGAGGCTGACCAGGGGCTGCAGCAGGCTGACGTGGCACCGGGTCAGGCAGGTCAAGAGACGAGCCTGCAGCTCCTCCAGCTTTAAGCCGGACTGAAGGAGAGGGAGAGGCTGTGAATTCTAGGCCCAAAGCAATCCAGGCTGAAATTGGGGACACGGAGGAACGGCGGGACCCCTCTTCCCGCTCCAAGTCTGCGGGAAGCGCCAAACTTTGAGGGAAGTGGCAACCAATGACATCTGACCACAAAGGGGCGGGGGGGGGGAGGAGCCCTGCGACCCATTGGAGAGGCGACAGGACAAGGCCACTGTGTGTCTCCCCAGTCTTCCTTGGACGCCCACTCAGGGCCACGGCGCTGAGGACTGTGCCCCAGCTGAGTCCAGCAGTCCCCTTACCGGCTGATCCCTGGCATGGTTCTTTATCCAGCCCTGCAGCTCACGGACAATGTGGACCAGCAAGCCCGGCCCTCCCCAGTCCTTGCAGCAATCCAGCACATCCAGGAGCCAGGCCAACGGGTCGGGCAGGCTGGCGAAGCCCAGGCGCATTTCTTCTCGGAGCTAGAAAAAAAATCCAGGAGGATTCCCGACGGGCTCTGCTCTGCCAGCCCACGGGCCACATATCCCCCCCGCGGGACACCCAGCTTTTGCGAGGTGCCAGCTTCCCCGCGAGGGAGAAAGGGCCCCAGCTGACCAGCAGAATTTCCACCCCACCCCACCCCCATGGTGGGAGATTACCAATTAACCAAGCAGCCCCTTCCGACCCCCTGCTGGTCCCCAGAGGGCCTGAGCAGATGGGAGCAAGAGAGAGAAGAGAATAGGTATCTCCACTGGGGGTAGGTGGGCACTGCAGCGAATGTCTTGTACGATGCTTTACCGAACTCACCTTTTCCATGTCCTTCCATACCCAGAGAGCCTGAAGTTTCTGGAGCAAGGGGTCTTGCTCTGGAGGGAGAGAAACGAAATGTGAAGTGGTTCCCCTCCACCCGCGAGGCCCAGGGCTCCCACATACAAGCTTACGGCCTGGCCAAGGACAGCCCTCCAGCCCTGCTGAGGGTATCGGGGCCTCCCGAACAGCGGTGCCTTTCCATCGCTCAACTCAATGGCTTACAGAAATAAAGGCCCGCGGGCCAAAACCCTGGTCCATCCGGGACATTTCCACCAGGGGTGGGTGCTTGTTGCAATGAGCTGCCCTGGCCAGCTGCTGCTCCAACCCGAAAGGCCCCCTGGGAACTCAGGGCCAACCAGAGGCCCGATCAACCACTTCTGGCCGGGTTGGGCCCTCTGACCAGGAAGTGCCGCTCCCGCAGAGACCCACCTCCGCCTCTCCCTCCTCTCCAAGAAACACCCCTTGGCCTCCCGTTCTCCCCACGTGATGGGAGCAGGAAATGCAGGCTCAAGTGCCTTGGGCTGGCTGAGACGTCTCAGGGAGAGGGCAGCCCCGAAACTACCAGTTCTCCTGAAATCAGCCCTCTGGACAGGAGCTCTCTCTTTCAACCTGCAGTCCTGACCCCCCGGAGGGTGGTTGGCAGGCTGACTCTCAGGGGACAGGGCTGGGAAGGTGCCAGGTCCGGTCCCCAGAGTTTGGGGTGGGACAGCTGATGCTTCCAGTCTCTGTGGCCTGGGAGATGCTGGGCCCGGTTAGCCCCTGACAGGCAGCCACAACTCAGTCTAGCCAGGATATCCTCTTCCCGCACGGGGTGACGGTAGCATCTCACCCTGCAAGTGTGGCTGTCTCTGCTTCTCAGAATTGGACCTCAAAGAAAGGGGGTTTAAAGGACAGTGTGAAAAGAGGAGTGTGAGCCTGTGGGGGGACTTGATGGCTTGGCATCAAGTCCCCCCACGTGGGTGTGTTTGTGTGTCACCTAGAGATCTGAACAATACGGCTTGCTGGAGCCTCTGCCTGCAAAGGAGAGGAGGGAACAAGGCCTTCAGCTTGGCAGGCTGACAGCCTGGGGCTCCAGGCTTTTAATCTGAAGAAGCAGCCCCCTCCCCCCCTGCTCCCAAATCCAGTGTTTGTCTTGGAAACAGCTGAACAGGGGCTGCCTGTTGCAGGAAGGACAGACGGACGGAGGGTGACAGGCAGAGGCGACCCCTGGACCGATCAGAGGAGGGAGGGCTGGAGAACAGGAGAGAATCCAAGAAGGCAGCCAAAGTTTCCTTGGAGTGCTCACATCTGGTCGAAGCCTGCAGTCTTCTCAAGACTGTGGCAGGGGCGAGAATTTTCTGGGACGTTTTGCAAGTATTCACGGCAGGCTTCCTCGCCAAGGGCTTTCTAAACTTAAAAACGTTTTTTTTCGACTGAACTTGGCTTCTCCGAGCCATTTTTCCTGTACTGTACTTCCCCCCCCCCCCCCCCACTCCCATGGATATCTCTGTCCTACCCGCCACGCATTCTACAGGACTAATTCCTTTTAGGACATAAACGAGCTATTGCCCAAAGAGAATTTAGATTATTTTTCTCCAAAGGTCTCCCGGCTAAAGCTTATTTTATGCAAAAAAATAGATAGGGGAACCTGGCATCCTATTCCGCCCCCTGGTCCCTGGAATGAGAGAGCCAGAAAAAGGGGCCTGGGATGTTGCTGTGGACTCTCCCCCTCTCTATTCCCAAAGCCAAAAAGTATTAGAAAAGCTTTCTAAACATGCAGGAGGGATGATCCAAACTTGCGAAGTCCAAGTAAAAGGGGAGCGGGTTTCGCACCAGTGGCTCCAGGAAACCTCTGGGTCCAACTGCAGGCGACTAAAGCCCTTCCATGGTTTTAGAGGGGCCCATTTAAAGGAGGAGACCCTCAGCCCTGAAATACCTACTTCTCTGCAACAAGTCTTTGTGGTCAACCTCGCATTTCAAAAACCGCCGATTGGCTGGTATCTAAAAACAGGGACCTCCAGAGGGGAAAGGACCCCCACGAGGAGCCAGGAAAAGGAGGAGGAGGAGGAAGAACCATCAGAAGCTGGGCCTCACCGCTGGAGTCGTGACTTGGGAAATCTTCCACCGAGGTGTCTTCTGGGGGAGGGAAGACAGCTGCCCCCTCGTCCTGGGAAGCAGGAGAGAATTTGGTTATTCGCCGCAAGTGGATGACATCAAATGCCACCTCGGCTACTGCCAGCCCTTGGTGGGAGTGTGGGATAGCCTCATTCCAAGAAAAAAGGTTCAGTCTGAAGGGAGGAGGAGGAGGAGGAGGTCTGTGCTTGTTGGGGAAGCCAAATGCCGGGAAGAAAAGCTGCTGAGGCGGCGTTGAGGGGTGACCTCTCCTTGATCCCTTTCCAGGTTGCCTAAATGCGGCTTCCTGGCCACTGCCGAGATGCTGATTAGCCCAAGGCCCCCTTACAAAAGAAAGGTCGGGCCCAAGTCCAACCCAAGGAACACGACCTGGTGGTCATTCCCCGCATGAAGCACAGGAGGGCAAAGGCACGTGTAGAAGCCTCTGAGCTGGCATTTCACTGGCACCAGGCATGGCCTCTCCAGTGAGCTAAAGGCTTGAAGAAATGCACTGGGAGCCAGCATTTTATTCTTGAGAAAACAGCTGCACAGGGAAAGAGAGCCAGATGTTTTCCTGGACAATTGCTGAGTGTGCTGCTTTTTTTTGTTTTGTTTTTCGCTTTGAGAGTTTAACTTATAAGAACACACACACAAAAATTAAGATGCGCTGCTGCTTAGCTGAAAAATTAGGAGCTGCTGGGTGCGCTGCCAACGGAGGATTTCCAGGGATGTAGATATTTTTTTCCCCCCTAAAAGTCCTGTAGAACACAGGCAGCCTCTGAAGCTGACATCTGTGATCCGTTTAACATTTCTTAGGGGCTACAGACTTCAAAAAAAAAAAAAAAAAAACCCACCCACAAACCACATGAAAGTGTCCGGTAAAGGCAAACCACATCAAAACTCCTTGACAAGGGAGAGTCAGCCAGCTGCTGTTCTTGGTGGAGAGCTCTTAAGAGGATCTACTTCACTTCCAAACCTCTTTTGGTTGCAGCTCCCTCCAAATTCGAAAGCACCGAGAGAATATTCCCATCCACCCTGAGACACAACCAGATCACCCACTGGCCCCAAACTCACAAACTCTCACAAAGCAGACACACACACACACACACAGAGGTGCAGAAACATCCAGGGGTCTCAGCTGCAAGGCTCATCTGGGAAGGGGCTCTGGGGACTCTGCCCTCCAACCGACCGGACACCAGACTCAGGGGAAGGAACCAGTGGCCGAAGCCCAACAGATGCCCTCGAGGAAGGCGGCCCAGACAACGGTGCTTTCCGCAGGAAAAAGGTCCGCAGCCGCCATCGGATCGCCGGCAAAGCCTCCATGACAGAGGCAGAGAGAGAAGAAGCCCGGGCAGGCCTGCTGGGACCGCGGAGGAGAGGCGGGCCAGCCCCCCGCCCGGGCCTTCCTCCTCCTCCTCCTCCTCTTGCACCAGCCCTTCTCCAAGGAGCCCAAAGGCGGGCAGGAGGCCGGAACGGAGCCGGCCGCTCGCTCCGGCTCCGGCCCTGGAAGAGCCAGGGGAGAGCAGTCCGAGGCCCGGCTGAGGACCCTGCCGGGCGTTGGGTTTCTCGACGAGGGGACCGGCCTCCCTCCGGCCCGCGGGGCGCGGGAGCTCGGGCACCCACCTGCTCCCCGGAGCCCTCCAGCCTTCAGTCCGGCGGGGCTCTCCTCGCCCGGGGGCCCCTTTCTGGGAGAGCCGAGCCTTTCCGGCCTTGGGATGCCGACGCTTCCGCCCGATCCAGGAAGCCGAGCGATCGCCCGGAGCGCGACGGGTCCCCGCGGCGCCCCCTTTTTTCCCGGGCCAGGCGGGCCGGAAGTGGCGCTCCGCCCGTGCGCCGCCCAAACGGTCCCCCGGGCTCGGCGAACCCCGGGCGGAACCTTCGCTCGGCGGGAACAACGGCCCCGCGAGGCAGGGCGGCGGCGGCGGCGGCGGCGGCCTCCGGGTCGGCGGTCCTGCGCTGCCCCCTCGCGGCCGCCCCGGCGGCGGGATGGGAGGCCGCGGGGGCTGCCGCCCCGGGACCAGGCCCGGTCCCTCCGCCTGAAGGCCGCTCCCCAACAATGGTCGCCCGGGCGACGCGGCCGGCTCGGCCCGCCCAGCCTTGTGGCAGGCGAAGGTCCCCGGAGAGCCGCAGCAGCAGCAGCCGCGCTGGCCCACCATGACGGCAGCCCAGAGGTGCAGCTTCTTCCCTCAGGAGCCCTACTACGTCCCTGGGTGAGCCCGCGGCTCTCGGAGGCCTCTGGCCGAAGGAAGGCGATTTGGTGCCAGTCTCCCAGCAGAGCTTCCCCCTCCAGGAGCAGTCTACCCCGCTGAGCCCAGGGAGGCTGGAACTGCTACCCTCCACGGCCTTCTCCTTCGCCTGTGCCCCTCGTGGAAGCTTTTTCTGACTTAAGGATTAGCTGGGCTTTCTCCCCCACCCACCCCACCCCTGCCATGGCTACCAATCCCTTTTCCTTTTCCACCCCTTTTTAGGGTGGAATTTGTGACTTCAATCTCTGCGTAAAACGGCCATGGCAGATCTCTTAATAATATTGGTGCCAAACGACTTAAATTCATGCTAAATTAATCCCGTTTTTTTCTAGCACGTTCACGTGTGGATTCATTTCCTTTTACCTGTTTGTGCCTCTTAAGGTATGGAGGCTTTTACCCCCAGGTCCGCTACCAAGTTGGGCAAAGTTACGGCCGAACCACCTCCAGGATGCTGACCGACCCTGAGGTCCGCAAGAGCCCGTCCTCCGTTCTCACGCCTTTGAAGAGACCCAAGTTCACAGAAGACTTCAGCCAGCAGAAACTCCCTGCACCAGACAGGATGGATCAGGGCCAGTCGTACATCCCGGGATACACAGGTGAGCACCTGGAAGAAATTGGGCAAGGCGGCTCCTGGTGTGTCCGGGACTCCTGTTGGCTCTACTGCTCTGACTGGACTAAACAACAGTAAACAGGCTCCTTTCGAGGTTGAATTTAGGATGTTGGTTTTCTCCTTTTATTTCCCTCTCTAGGATTTGTACCCTACGCTGGTTGCTTTCCTATTCCAAGCCAAGATTTGCAGCTCCCTTTGCCAAGGGCTCTTCCCCGGCCTGACCCTCCTCTGTGGACAGAGGGCCATCCAGCACCAGCTCACAGGAAAGTCATCCCCTGTCATCCCGGCATCCGGTTAGCCTGTGGGCCCGGGTGGAGGCAATTTGCAGCCACAGCCAGCTCACAGCTGGACTCCCCGAAAGACGAGCAAAGGTTTCTCTGCCACCCGGACATTGCGCTGGTGTGTGGTCAGGAGGAGCGCCGAGGACCTTGCAAGGCTGGCATGTCCTTGGTGTGCGGACAGGGCTGGAGGGGGCCTCCTTGCCACGCAGGAACTGACCAGGTAGGTGCTTAAAAGCTGACCATGAGATAAGAGACCAGCTGTAATGAGCAGACCACAGAAAAGAGGCACCGAACTCCTGGGGTGATTCCCATCTGTGACCAAAGTGCAAATAGCAGTCAAGGTCTTTGTCCAATCTCAATGGTAGACAACTCTTTCTGATGGAGTTGCCCCCAACGAGTACAACAGCATCTGTACATATTGGGTTGGAAGTCTTAGGTCTATCCCATTACCTCTGAAGCCCAGAGGAAGCCACAATTTCCTTATGAATCTGCCCAGAACATGAGACCAGCGAGGAGCCCTTCTGACAATATTCATTGGCACCTATGGGAAAGAGTCTGGGGTGTTTTGTTTTACGTTACTCCAAGAAATGTACTTACTTGGAGCTAAAAGTGGTTTACTGGGCCAAGGTCCCTCAACTGGCTATGTGCCTAACCGGGACTAAAAACTCATTTCCCGGTATTTATAGCCCGAAGTCTTAACAGCTATACCAGCGGCTTCCATTGCTTTGAAAGGTAGTTGCATGTTTCCTGCGGAAAGTCAGGCACAATTTTTTTGTTCCTTTCTCTCGCAGCCAACCAGGACTGAAGGTGTGCCTTTGCCACTGGCAACAGAAACAGTGAATGTCAGGCGGTTTGACCGGATCCCCAAACTGGACCTGCCCAACCTCATTCAGCGAAAAGCTATCTCAGGTAGACTATGGGCAATGGTGAGATAAGAGCGTCGAGTCTTCCTCCTCTCACACAGAGTGCTCTCTTTAATCAGGAAAAACATTGAAACCCATAGGGCTTTCCTTTCTGAAACAAACACATGGAGCAACGAAGCAGTTTTTGAGCTAACAGTATACCCATCCCTGCCCCAAATCTCCCCGATGCCTCAGCCAGTCATTCCCCCCCCGCTCCATCTTCAGCAGCATGCTCCAGCATGCCAATCTGGGCTGGGAAGCGTTGGATGGAACATCTGCATCTGCCTGATGCCCTCCAGGCGTCCCGAAAAGACGGCCAGGAGTTCTGAGCTGAAGCATCATTTGTTGGAAGAAGTGAGAGCAAATGTATGCCCCGTTACCTTCAGACCCTTCCAGATTCTCACTAGGCAGGACTGATTTTATAAAAGCCGCAGCCCCACACCCACCCCGGTTCTGGGCTTGGAAGGAGTAAAAAGGGGTTGTAGCCGCAGCCACTTTGGGCCCTGAGCAGCTCCCTGGAACCTTTTTCACACAGGATATGCTGGATTTATCCCATGCTTCACCTGGGTTATGGGAGTCAACTACCTAAAGGGAGTGAAAGATGCCATGAATAATTTTGATAGAAACCAGGTAATCCAGGGATAGGGAGCCTGGGCCCATCATCCCCCACCCCCACCCCCCAAACAGTCATGTGGCTGGGCACTGATGCTGTCTGGAGACAAACTGGTCTCTAGAAATAATTTCTCACCTAAGGAAGACTCCAGGCCAGGGGTCAAATTTAGCTGCAAGGCACCAGCTACCTAACACACTCAATTGTCCTTCCTCAGGAAAGGCTGAGAAACCCTATATATAGTTTTGGACAGCGCCTGCCGCACACTTACTGGCCCAACACGAAGATCTACAACAGCAGAGGCCTGGTTCCATTCTACACCGGGTTTGTGCCAAGTAAGTGATGAGACCTGTCAAGCCAAGACAAGTTTCTCCCCCCTCCCCATCAGCTCCTCAGGGCTGGTTGAGATCTGTTCAAAGTAACACATTTGCTCCCGGGGCCTCTGGCTACACAGAACTGAACAAGCTGAGGTCATTCAGCAGCTGCAATTTGGCAGACAGCTGCTTAGCGCTGGATATGAAATATGACGAGCTAGGAGAAACTGCAACTCTCTTTGCCCGTCTTCTGGCCGGTAAAATCCTTTGTACCCTTTCAAGAGACGCTTTTCCTCTGACTGCTTCTGCCTGCCGAAGTTTTCTTTGCAGAGAAAAAAATGACGCCTTTACACCCGTTCCCTCTTCTAAACATTCCACTCAATCCTGCATAGCCACGTGAACGAACCGGTTGCAGCATGCAGAGCTGCTGACTTGGGGTTTTCCTTCTCCCCAGCTATCCGTGAACATTATGCGCTAACTTTTGGCAACAGCACTCGGAAAGCTTTCTACGATGAAGTACAGCAGAGACAACGTACAGGATGAAAACGTTTTTAATGTCCTTACAGCATCAGACAGGTGACATAAAGAAGACGCAGCACACATAAACAAGAGGTCTTGAACAAATAAAAGTTTGTGACACCTTTGAACAAACAGGTGTGACCCCCCCTCCCCCTCAGTCTCTTAAGCTGCTTCCTCCTCTGCTTCCTCTTCAAACTCACCCTCTTCCTCAGCTGTTGCATCCTGGTACTGCTGGTATTCCGACACCAGATCGTTCATGTTGCTTTCCGCCTCGGTGAACTCCATCTCATCCATGCCCTCCCCAGTGTACCAATGCAAGAAAGCCTTGCGACGGAACATGGCCGTGAACTGCTCCGAGATGCGCTTGAAGAGCTCCTGGATGGCGGTGCTGTTGCCAATGAAGGTGGCGGACATCTTAAGGCCGCGAGGAGGGATGTCGCAGACGGCGGTCTTCACGTTGTTGGGGATCCACTCCACAAAGTAGCTGCTATTCTTGTTCTGGACATTCAGCATCTGCTCATCCACCTCCTTCATTGACATGCGCCCACGGAAAACCGCCGCAACGGTGAGGTAGCGCCCGTGGCGGGGGTCACAGGCTGCCATCATATTCTTGGCATCAAACATCTGCTGGGTGAGCTCGGGCACGGTCAGGGCACGATATTGCTGGCTCCCACGGCTGGTCAGAGGAGCAAAGCCAGGCATAAAGAAATGTAGCCGAGGAAAGGGGACCATGTTGACTGCCAGCTTGCGCAGGTCAGCATTTAGCTGGCCTGGGAACCGCAGACAAGTGGTCACTCCGCTCATTGTGGCCGACACCAGGTGGTTGAGATCGCCATAGGTAGGAGTGGTCAGCTTCAGGGTCCGGAAACAAATATCGTACAGGGCTTCATTATCAATACAATAGGTCTCATCTGTGTTCTCTACCAGCTGGTGGACTGAGAGAGTGGCATTGTAGGGCTCAACCACAGTGTCTGACACCTTGGGGGAGGGGACAACGCTAAAAGTGTTCATAATCCTATCCGGGTACTCTTCACGGATCTTGCTGATTAGGAGCGTCCCCATGCCAGAACCAGTGCCACCCCCCAGGGAATGTGTGAGTTGGAAACCCTGGAGACAGTCACAGCTTTCAGCTTCTTTCCTTACGACATCGAGCACAGAGTCAACAAGCTCAGCTCCCTCGGTGTAATGGCCCTTGGCCCAGTTGTTGCCTGCTCCGCTCTGACCTGCAAGGGAGGAGGGAAGCGAGTGGGAGAATGGACAACCCATTAGGTGAGCCTCTAACGCGCTCCTGTCTGAATCGTGCACAAAAGCAAGTCATTGAGCAGCATTTACCGGCCCAGATATATGCCATGCAAGGCCTGGAGGCCGCCTTGGCCCTATGGAGTGACAAAGCACCTCCGCGTATCAATGCTCTTGCACGCTTGGATAGGTTTTTTTTTTTTGCACCTGCCTGAAATGCGGCTCCTGCAAACCAGCCTCCCTCGCAATTCCACTCCCCAAACCCACTTAGATCGCCCAAGTTAAGGCAACTAACCTCAACGCCCTTTGGATTCCCTAAAGCCTCAGCATCCAATCCTAACGAGCAAAGGATGCGCTGCAGCCTCCCCTTGGATGCCAACTGCCCCCCCCCCAAAAAAAAACTCCCGTCGGCCAACCGAGCATTACCCACCGAAGACGAAGTTGTCGGGGCGGAAGATCTGCCCGAAGGGGCCCGACCGCACCGAGTCCATGGTGCCCGGCTCCAGATCCACCAGCACAGCCCGAGGGACATACTTGCCGCCTGCGAAGGAAAGGCCAGCTCAGCCGCCAACCCCGCGAAGCCGCCCCGCCAGGACTACAAGCCCCATCATCTCCTCCTCCCCGCCCCGACGAGCCCCCCCCCTCGCCCCCGGCACTCTGCGCGCGCTCAGAAGCGCCGCGCTCAGCGGACCCACCGGTGGCCTCGTTGTAATAGACGTTGATGCGTTCGAGCTGGAGGTCGCTGTCGCCATGGTACGTGCCGGTGGGGTCGATGCCATGCTCGTCCGAGATCACCTCCCAGAACTAAGGGCGGAAAAGCGGGGAGAGCTATGAGAAGGAGGCGCAAGGCGGCCTCCCGAGGCCCCACCCGGCCTCCTCCGCCTTCTCGGCCGGCTCGGCTGACCTTGGCGCCGATCTGGTTGCCGCACTGGCCGGCCTGCAAATGCACGATCTCCCTCATGGCGCCGGAACCGACGGGCGGGAACGACCTCTCCGGTCTGGACAGCGAGACAGACAACGCCGACGGCACAGCGAATACTAGCTGCGTCAAGGCAACGGACGCCTTTATATAGGAGGCGCAAGAAAGGGGGCGGGGCCGCGTAGTCGCGCGCGTCCTCTCAGCCTCACTCCACCTCTCCCGTCATCCGCCTTGCCGGTGGTGATTGGGCGAAAATGCCCGAGCTGCGCTGTTGATTGGGCGCTCGAGATGTCAGTCTTAACCGAAAAAACCTCCCCGCGCTTGAACGGTTTTTTTTTAGCGCGAGGACTTTCTCCCTCGAATTTTCTACTTAGAACGTTACAACGGTCGCCCGAGACTCCTCCTCCTCGCGTTGGTTCTCCGTGCTCCCTGCCAACGGGGAAAAAAAAAAAAACAACCCCGAGGACGACTCTTCTATTGGGCGATTTGAATGACTGATTGAATGACAGAGGCCTCTAATTGGCGGCTGAGAAGAGACGCGTCTCCTAGTAACGGTCGCAGGGGGAAACGCCCGCGCGAATGTAGGCTGGAGAAACCCGCGCGCTACGGCGACTACGTTAAGAGCGCAAGCTCCCCGCGCGCTGCGCTGTCGGCGTGGCGGTTGCGGTGGACGCCAAACAAGCCGCTCCTTAGCAACGGGTCTCCGTTGCCTTAGCAACGCCTCTAAGGCCACTGACAGCATCCTCCACAACGGAGATCCAGGGCTGTAAACAAGGCCCCAACCGCCTTGAAGCACTCTAGTTTTTCTATCCTCGGCTGCTAGGCCTTCTCTCCAGCCCCGTTCTCCCCTTCCCGGTTTCCCCAACTGCATTCCCATTGTCCCCTGTGAAGAAAGCGCTGAGGATGCCAGCTGGGCAGAGGCCAAACCCTGGGCCAGGCAGCACCAGCAGGAGACTGCCAGTGACCAGCGCTCCACTATTTCTTTCAGGATTGATCAATTGTGTAGTTGAGTTTCCAGCTTAATAAAGCTGCATTTTCTGTCCTGCAATGCACTACATTTTAAGAACATGCACATAGCATTAACTTCAAAAGGATAAGAATTTTTCTTTGGAGGGATGCAAAATTTCATTGTATGTACACTGTGTATATATATGTACAATGACAGTAAAGAATTCAATTCAAAATGCAACAGCATTCTAGAACACTCCAAGCCAAGCTTCTCACAAGAAACGGGTTCTATGGCACACGCAGCAAAATCAACAGACTAAGAAGAATTAAACCATGGTTTAATAGGAAGGGGGTCCCTGTGTTCCCCACCAGAGGGGCCACTTCACAGTCCAAGGAGTCCGAAGAAAAGTTCATATACGGTGTATCAGCCCATTTCCGAGGCGAGTCTCCTATTCCACTTCGTCGTAAATGTGATTGTCGTGTCTGTATAAACAAAAGCCAGTATGATACGGTGCCTGTTTTTTTCACACAAAACAAGATCAGTGGGGTAGACACAATGATTTTGCACATTAAGGGACCAAAACAACATAAAATACTTTCAGCAAAGACTTCCACCAATACAGGGACTGTTCTATCTTCAGCTCCTCTTGTAATGATTCCAAACATGAAATTTGCATGCTGGATTGACATTTCCTTCAAGCTGTCCACTGCACCATCAAGTTCCCTTTCCTGACTAGTCCTACCCAGTTCAGATCCCAGTAATGCAGAGGTGAAGCTTAGATGATTTGGGGTGCCGGCATGCATGGCTTTTTCCCTTGTCTATGCCTTTTAAAGGCGTGATGGTTTAAACCAACGCCCTGTCTCCTGAAACCTGCATTTCCCTCTTACCGTTTTGGGTCAAGGAGAACGTCTTTGGAAAAAACAAAAACCATTTCCACACAAAACAGCTGACTCAGCCTGCCCATCTCCCACAGTCCCAGGAAGTGCTAACTCACCCTTGAGGTGTCATCCCAATCTCTGGAGAGCCTCCCATTCTGGGAAGGAAAGAAAGGTACAGAGCATCCTATTAGGGAAGGTGCTAAATGAGCAGAACAACTGCTCGAAGGATCTGAGACAGGAAAGCAGATAACTTCCTGTCTTCCCCCCTTGCAAAGAGGCTGGGGGTGATCAGGGGACCACCTCTTTCTCCTGATCAGAGTTACCAAAACTCTTAGCCGCTCACTGGCTAAAGGTTCACAGAGACGACATTCAGGCGCAAAGGCCCGCTTCCGCTTGGCCTCAGTTGACATGGCCGTGCTACAATTCCCCCAGGCATCTAATTGCTAGCCCCTTCTAGGCCTCTGCAGGAGGACGAGATCGAAAGAGGGAGCACTTCTTTCGACCCACAAAACTTACACAGCTGTACGGTGTGACTCTTCCACCTTCTCATACTTTTTTGCTGAGGGAGGGCTGAAATACAAATGGATCCTGCTGGATGAGAGCAGTCAACCAGGCCCCCAGGTGTACTGTGGTAGATACTTTCTCACTTCGGTTCCTCCTTCCCAGCCCACCGACAAATCTACTGATGGGCAGCTACTGGACATGGAGGCTCTAGGAGTGTCAATCTGGATTTCTTCCAGGGCCAGCGGGAGGGCGGTGGTGCGGGACGGAGGCCTCCTGCAGTACCCTGCCAGCCAAAACAAGGCACGGGAGGTCCCTGCGCCTCATTTTTACCCTCCGTGGCCTGTTTTCGGCCCATTTTTCGGCCTGTTTTCAGCTTGTTTTTCAGGCAGTTTCCAGGACCATTTTTGGACCCTTTTCAGGCCTGTTTTGGCTAGGAGAGTGCTGCAGGAGGCCATGGAGGGTGAAAATGAGGCACACATGCACCCCGTTTTAGCTGCCAGAGGCACTGTGGGCCGGTCCTTTGGTATTTTCCAGGCCAGCCCCGCAGGCTGGATTTAAGCACCCTGCAGGCCACATCTGGTCTGTGGGCCTTGAGATTGACACCCCTGCTCTAACGCTGCCAGTTCCAGGTGTCGCCCAGTCTAGACCCAAACAGGCTCCCTGGGAGCAGAGCACACCGGAAGTTTACCTAGCAGCTCACAGGTACAAGCGCACCTACAGACAAGCTTTATCTTAAGGGCTCAGGCACATTGACGGAGAAGGAAACCCTGAGCCATTGTTCAGTAAGGATTTCCAGTTTCTTCTAGACAAGGTCAGCTCACGTGATTCCTTATTAAAGCATACATAGGGACCGGCAGTGCCTTAGCTGTGGCCTCTCTTACTGGAGGATTTAAAACTTCATCCCAGATCCCTCACACTCACCTGGAAAAGGGCTGAGCCCCTTTGGGGATTATGTACTCCCTCTCCTTGGGGGTCCTGGAAGCAGAAAGGAAGGGCTGCAGCAGCCAAGGAGAGCAGGGGACGGACCGCAAGGGTTGGGGCTCGGCAGGATCTCTGCTACCTAGAGAGGCATCTGCCAAAAGGATCCTAAGCCCAGACAAGGAATCTGCTCCCGGCTTTTAAAGAGCAAACGCCTTCTGCCCCCCGGGGCAAGCGCACCCGCCAGCCCTGTTCCCCCAGCCCCACACTGCCTTCTTCCTACTGACTTGGGTGGCGATGACGCGCTCACGTTCTGGTAGTGGAGTTTTTGACGGGTCCTGAAACGAAAAGGACACCCACGAACAGCTGTTGGGCTGTGGAGGGGGACTTCCACCCGGCAACGGGTGCTTCCGGGTTAGCAAAGACACACACACACACACACACACACCATCATTTCTTAAGTCTGATTTTGACTGCCGAGGACGTTGAGGCTGGAAGGAACGGCCTGAGCCAGAAAGCATATCCTAACTTCCTCACTCCTCCCCAAAAGGCTGCGGCGCCTGATTCTTCATGGGGCAGAAGAGAAGCCAAGAGGTGCTCTGCTTCTCAGCAGCGGCCCAGGGCACATTGAGAGCCCGCTTCAGTCCTGAAAGGGGGCTGAAGGCCTCTTTAGTAGCCCACAAGATCCCCAAATGCTGTCAGAGAGCACGGCTTTGCCACCAAGCCAGCCCTGGTCTCCTGTTAAAACAGCATTTCTACCGCTTGCCTTGAGAAGCCTAAACAAACCCTAAAAGCAGCTCTGAAAGAGCCACCCAAGAGAGGCCCTTTTTTTCCCCGGGCATCCCGCCCCGTTCTGCCCACCCACCTTCTCTCGCTGACCCACCTGGGACCGGGATTCAGCTCGCTGACACTCAGGTAGCCGTCCTCTGGGGCATGCCTGAAAGGGGACAAGAATGGGCTTCAGGGGTCCAGCAGAGAAAGGGAACCAGCTCCTCCTCCCATCTCCTCCTTGAGTTAAGCTCCTCAATCCCACACGGGGCCCAACCGAGACCTCTGGGCTGTTTTCTGAACCAGACAAAAACACTTTTCTCCTCCAGGCGTCCGAACTTAATTGCGCTAATAAAGACTCTTTCAGACCTCCTTGTTTTCGGCAAGATATTCTTTCCCCCAGGAGCTTTAAAGCAGTCCCTTTAAGAGTGCCCAAGTGGCCAAATCCCAGAAGCTCAAAATCCACACTGGGATAGTTCCTGGTTTTGTCCGGGCTATAAAGGAAGCGCTGCTCTGAGGCCAATGCCAGAGCTGTTACTCACGGGGTGGCTGGACGGAGGTGACCAGGGCCAGATGTCCTCATGGTCATGTACGTATGGTCTGGGCGAGGGGGTCTGCAAGTGGAGGGCAAGAATGCAAGAGGCCTGCGTCCATCTTCGGCACACACCTTCCTTCCTACCTTCCTTCCTTCCCTCCCTCCCTCCCCGAGGCCCACCGCACCTGAAGCAGCAGACCAAACCTGAGACAAGGACCAGCTGCCTGAGCAGACAAAACCCTCAGCTGGCTAATCAGTTTTCTTCCTGATCCTGAAGTCTTCAGGTGAGACCCCACTCTCGGTTACTCGCCCTCGACAATCCAGATCTCGAGAGGCAGACCCTACCCCCCGCCCCCCGCCCACCTCTGAGTGCCTGCAACGGCCCCCCGCTTGATCGGATTCACTTACGGGATAGGAGGAAGAGTCCTTCTGGAAGGAGGATAACCAATTTTCCCTTCCTTCCCTGTTTTCCTTGAGACGGACAAAAGACACGAAAAGGGTGGGGAGCGAGGCGGAGGCAGTGAGCAACCCTGGCCTGCAAACTCAATCCTCTGGCCTGCAGAGTTTGCTTCACCATCTCCATCACTGGACCCTCCGGCAGAGCCAGGAGGACAGCCAAGGGAGGAGGTGGCACCCCTGCTGCTTGCAATGAATGTCCAGCCCCAGAAAGACCTGGCTGGTTTCCAGCCCCTAGGAAGCTTCCGCAGTGGCTGCAGGAAGGAGACCCAGAAGAGGCCCTCAGGCCTCCCTTCCCGGCCCGCAAGACTCACCTTTGTTTATCCGCCATCCGCAAGACACAGACCGCCACCACCAGAAGGACCGAAGTGGAAAAGAAGCCCAAGAAGGCCAAAGCGGCCACAATCACTGCCAGGGTCCCTTTGGACAGCACTTCAGGGCAGCTGCCCTCCGCTCGGCCCACTGAAGGCACGTGAAGGAGAAGCAGAGTCAGGGGGCAGGAGGGGTACCCTCTCCCCCCCAAGTCTTCTGTGGACGGATGCCCTGGATCCAGGATCCAGGCAGCAAGAGGCAGAAACGGTCCTCTGAGGCCGCCTCCGGCCCTCCCAGCAGGTTCTCAGTGGAGCAAAGCCACACCAAATTCCCCGGACCACGGGGAGGAGGGAAGGGGTGCAGCTCCCCAAAATCACAGGCAGCAGGGAGAAGCCCTTACTGGGAATGGAGATTTGCCGGTGGCCAGCTTCCGCGTGATCCCCAGCGTCTTCGGGATACTGTTGGGGATAACACTGGGTTACAGACTCAGACCAGGCAGGGTTTGCATTGGGGGGGGGGGTCTCTTCATCCCGTTATCCTTCCAACCCTCCTGCTGCCAATGCCGTCACCCCCACAGCACAGGGGGCTGCGACTTGCCCATTTGGGGACCCTGAGATTCCAAGGGGGTGGGGGGAAGGAGGATAACCATGCCCCTCCAAACTGGGTTGTCGCAGAGGGCGTTTCACAGCGAGGGCTCCCGGAGGCTGACCTTCCTCACAGCTCTTCGAACAATCCGCTGACTGAATCCTTCTTCGTCCTCCTTCTCTTCCACTTCCCCTTCCTTCCAGTCATCGTTCAGAGAAGCAACTATTTTCTTTTTGTGCTTCGGGTGGGAATTGGCTGGAGAAGCTCTCGAGGCCTCTGCTCTGTTCATTCTCACTGCAAACCAACGGAGAATTCTGAGCGCAAAAAATGGATGTAGGAGATTTGGCCTGGGTTCTTCCCACCCTGCCCACAAATTTATATTTTGTCTGCTTGTCTTCCGCCCCCGCTCCAGTTGCGGGCTGCTTTCAGATATCTCAAATTTTTTGATGCCTGCCTGGGGGCTACAAGTGCGCTCGGATTTAAAACCCAAATACCCTGCAGCGTGTCTGGCTCCTGGCTTTCTTCCCAGCCCCAAACCCAAGGTGGCTGATCAGGCCCGTTACTCACACGAAGCCAAGGAAAGGACGCTTATGATGAACAGGCCGGCCAGTTGCATCCTGGAGCCCTGAGCCCAACCTCTCCCCATCTCCCAGGAGCCTTGAAAACCCCTCCAGCCAGGCAGGAGCTCCAAGGGAGCCTCTGTGACCTCACAAGGTCCCAGAACTTTGGCCGGCCAATGGGCAGCTCCAGCAGTCGCAGCCCCACTCCTCCTCCGAAGGAAGCCTCAGGAAGACCACGGCCTCAGTCACTCACCCCAAGTCCTCCGTGGCAGCCGGTGGCTCTCTGCTCCTTCTCCGCCTTTGTCAACTGCCTTTGAGGGGTTCTCCATATCCGCAGCGTCCAGTTCTTTTCGGCCTTTCCTGCCAGCCCGACTCGGCTACAATCCACGCTTTGTGACAGGCATTAAAAGCGGCTGGGCTGATACTCAGAAGCCTTCCTGCCCAAGAGACCCAGTGCCAGTTTCCCTTCCCTTCCCAGGGGACCACATCCCTGTTCCTGGGATGGCCCACGGAGGGGGAGGCCACGGCCCTTGGCCAAGGGAGCTCCCCCAAGCTTCGTCCCTTTCCCCACCTCTCCGGCATCGGTCCTTGGCAAGAAACGCACCCCAGGCAGGCAAGGAGAAAGGTACCCATCCAGCCAAACCGCCCCACCAGCCCTATGTCTCCCCGATACGCTGCAGAGGGCCTTGGAGGGAACCGTTGGCAACGGACCGAATTGCAAGGGGGAGCGAGCCGGCCCGATTCACGGAGAAAAAAAAATACACCGCCGTCCCAACGGCTCCGAGGGAAGCCACTTTATTATGAACCAGGAAATCCATCAAAACAAAACGTTTTGCTAGCAGTCTCTGGGGCCGCACGCACGCACACACACACACACTGGCCACATGTACCAAGGCGAAACAAGGCAGCACCCCAGGCCAGGGTCCAAGGGTGACCCACACCCATCAGGTGCCGCCCTCAGTTGCAGCTTTTGGGCAGGCGGTAGACACCCCCCGAGTAGCTGAGCTGCTGGTCCCGGACCTTCTTCTGGAGGAAGACCTGTAGCTCCTGGATGTCGATCTCGGTCACCATGGGGCCGGTCATCACGAAGATCTTCAGCATGCTGTGGATGCGTTCCAGGGAGAGACTCTCTAGGTTGGTCAGCATGGCCTGGATGTAGGTCCAAAAGAGCTGCAAAGGGGGCGTAAGGACACAGAAACGAGGTCAAGGCGGAGATCGGAACCGCCGCATGGCAGCAGCGGAACCAAGGTGCTTCTGGGATCCAGTCAGCCCTGAGCGTGAAGGCTCCCTTGTTGTGCCCAGACAAGGGCGGGTCACCCAGCCAAAAGCCAGCGCTTAGACCTCTTAGCCTCCTCCTCCTCCCCCAGATGATCACCTGCAGCTCCTCCTCCTTCTGGTCCGCCTGGGAGGCCATGGCCGAATCCCCCTCCTCATCGCTGTCGATCAGCACCACCTTCTCGGCCTGGTCCTTCAGCTCCTCCTCGATCACCGTGAAAGTCCCGGGGGGCTCCTCCCTCAGCACCCCTTGCTGCAGCCAGAGGGTCATCTTGCGCCGCAGGGAGGCTGCAGGCACCTTCAGAGCTTCACTCAGCTCCTCCAAGGTCCACGTGCCTGCAAAGAAGGCCCCCCACACCCTGCTTAGGGCCCAGCAGTGCCACCTAAGGGCCCCACCCCCAAGAAGGATGTCCTAGTAGGAAACCTTCCCTCCATCTCCCTTGACGCTGCCAAATGCGTCCCCTCCCCGTGGATTGCCTCCTATGGCCCACATCTGTGCGTGTGCGCCTAGATCTCCTTTGCGGGAGAAGGGCAGAAGCTGGAGGCCTACTTTTGCCCTGGAAGTGCAGGATGACAGCCGCGTGCACCGGCGACACAGACAGGGAGAGCGTCCGGTCCGCCAACTCCACCTCCAGGTTCACCAAGCCCAAGTGATGCTTCCAGTTCAAGGTCCTCATGGCCTGGGAAGAAGCCGAAAGGGAGCATTACGGCTGCTCACGCTGAGGGGCCGCATGTGCTGTTCCACACAGGAGCACGCCGCAGGGCGTCCTGGGTGAAGGGAGAGGAACAAGAAAGGAACAGCCGAATCCTAGAAGGGACCTGGGCTGTTCCCGGAGGAGAAACAGAAGGCCGCCTTCGTGGTTGGCTGCCAGCTGCGCACGGCTGAGCTTCCCGCATTCTCTTCTACCTTCAGCTTCTCGTACTTCTTGGCGTAGGCCTCCATGGCTTCCTTGATCTGCCCCGGGAGCTCCAGTTTCTCCTCCTTCAACGGGGGCCAGAACTCGCTGGAGAGGATGATGGCCACAAGGCTGAAGGGAGGCCTTTCCTGCTCCGGCAGCTTCTGTTCCTCATCGCGAATGTTTGCGTTGATGCGCCGAGAGTCTGCCATGTCCTGTGTGGGAGAGAGGGAAGGAACTGGGGCGCCCGAGCTCGTCTGGACAGGCCACCGTGGGGCCGAGTACAACCAGCCTTCGGAGGGACCAGGGGTGGTCTGGAACACCTACTTTGAGCATGACCTCACAGTAGTGCATCTGGGCCTCTCCGAAGCGCAGCTTCAACAGTTCCACATTTCGGATCTCCCTGGAGCGAGAAGAAGGCAGGGCTGTTGCCGAGGCCTCTGCTGCTCACCTCAGAGCCTGCGCTCCTGCGGAAAAGCTCCCCTGACCCCGGAGGAGAACGCCCCGCAACCCTCCTTGTCCCTGGCCGCAGCAGAGCGAAGGGCGGCTTTCTGGCTCACGGGGCTCCCTTTGCTGGCTGTGCCTCAGGGGACTTGGCGCAGCTGCGGGCGCCTCTCGGGCCTTACCTCTCGGCGCTGTAGTTGAATTGATGCAGCAAGCGGTCAGCCAGCAGCGTCCGGTACTCGTTGATGAAGAGGTCTTTGCTGCCGTAGATGCTCACCAGCAGGCTGATGATGTCCGAGGAGCGGCGCTTGGAACTGGACTTCCCTGGTAAAAAGTGGGTGTAACGGGCAGAGGCCAGAAGCCTCACGGACCCGTCTCCCCCAAAGCATCTTCCAACCGCAGCCCCAACTCACCGGGATCGGCATCGACCGGATCGGGCACCCAGTCCTCGGGTTCAGAGACATCATCCTCGCTCTCCTGGCCATTCTCCAGTGTCACTGGGTCGGCTTTGGAGAGCTCATTTGCCAGGTCGGCCGATCCTTCCGCATCCCCCGTCAGACCGGCCACGATCTGCCGCACGGTATCCTCCCTGGTCCTAGGGATGAGTACGTGCGTGTGTGTGTCTGTTCTGTGGCTTATGGTCTGCCACCCAACCGTGACGCCACACCAGCAAAGGCAAGCCAGGGCATCCGGAGAGGCGCCCACCAGCCCCTCTCACCTCAAGTACTTCCGGATGGGCTCACAGGCCACTTCCAGGATCACCATGGAAGAGTCCAGCTCCCGCAGGGCTTTGATGGCAGAGATGTAAAGGGTGATGATGTCTGAAGTGTTCACCCCTGAAACAGAGAGCCGGGAGGCTAGTCGCAAGGCTGAGAAGAGGAAGACGGGGGTGGGGGTGGGGGCTTTGGTGTTGCAGAGCCGCCATCACCCACCGGGATGGAGCAGCCGCAGTTCCAAGGCGCTTTTCAGGGAAGTCAAGAGCTGCTGCCGCTGATTGGTCCTTTCCAGGCAGTACTTCAGGTCTTCCACGGCAGGCTTCGACTCCGGGAAATCTGCAAGAGGGAAGGAGGAAGCCTGAGGAAGGGCAACCCAGCGCTGGGCCTGCTCCGCAGACAGGATGCTCAAGCCGGCTTGGGGTGGGTGGGAGCGGGGTGAGGGGGCTGCCAGGCTCACCGCGGATGATGCTGAAGAGCTCCTCGATGCGCATGCTGGCATACAGGCGGTAGAAGAACATCTGGACGTGGCAGCGCCATCGCTTCAGGGTGCTGCTGGCAGCCGGGCCGGGCAGCCCCCCGGCGCTTTCTTGCAGAAAGACTCGGCTGAGCCACCCGATGACCTTGTCGATCCACTGGGGCAGGGCAGAGAAGGCGAGACCCCTTAGCCGGGGGGAGGGTCGGCGGGCAGGGAGAGGGGCCGCCCCGGCCTCCATCCCAACCTCTCCTCGCCCCCCTGCCCACCTCTTGGAAGTCGCCGAGGAAAGAGCGCTCGTACTCGCCCCGGCAGCGCCACTCCACGCGCTCCTCGATCATCCCGTGCAGGACGTGGGTCACGGCGTCGGCGCTCACCCGCTCCAGTAGGTTGAGCTCGTGGCTGGAGGAGGGGAGACAAAAGACCCCGCTCAGCAGCCCCGCCGACCCCCGAATCAGCCCGGCCGCCCCTTCCCCGGGCCCCCCGGTACCCACAGGATGGCGTTGAGCTGCTGGAACTGCTCCATGGCCAGCGGGCAGCAGCAGCGCTCCTCCCCGCAGCCGCAACCCGAGCCGCCGCCGCCGGCCTCCTCCTCGGCCCCGCCGTGCTGCCGCATGTAGATGCGGAAGCTGCGCCCGTAGAAGCGGCGGACGGCCTCGCGGAAGTCGGCGGGGGGCGCGGAGAAGAGGACGGCGCGCAGCAGGGCCCCGGCTCTCTCGCGCGGGCCGCCCGGGCAGCAGCGCCCCGCCGGCCTCGCCCACTCCTCCAGCAGGCCCAGGCCGCGCAGGTAGGGCTCCAGGCGGCGGCGGAGGAGCCCGAAGGCCTCCAGCAAGCGCCGCGGACAAGGCGGCTCCCCGCCGGCCCGGCTCCAGAACTCGGGCGCCAGCCGGGCCTGCAGGTCCCGCTGCAGCACCTCCAGCAGCCACTCCTCCAGCGCCGACAGCAGCCCGTGGCGAGCCAGCACCGCCGCCGCCGCGCGCAGCTCGTCCGCCGCCGCCCCCGGGGTCCCCGGGCCCTCCGGACCCAGCCCCAGAGCGGCGGCCGGCACCAGGCCGGTGCTGAGGGCGTGCCAGGCGGCCGAGAGCTCCATCGCGCGGGCGGGCGGGCGGGCGGCCGTTGGAGGAGGAGGAGGAGCCGCCGGGCGGGAAGGCAGCCGGGCGGAGAGAGCAGCAGCGGCGGCGGCGATGACCCAGCAAGGCGCGGCGCTGCAGAGCTACAACAACGAGCTGGTCAAGTGTAAGCCGGGCTGGTGGGTGGGTGGGTGGGGAGCGTTGAGGCGGCGGCGGCGGCGGGGGTGGGTTGGGGGTCGGCGCAGTTCCCGGGAGGCCCTGAGCCGCGCCCGCGCCCTCCGCAGGCATCGAGGAGCTGTGCGCCAAGCGGGACGAGCTGAGCCGGCAGATCCGGCAGGAGGAGGAGGAGAAGGCCAAGCTGCAGGGCGACCTCCGCCTGCTGACCGAGCGCCTGGCCCGCATCAACGAGACCCTGGCCCACAAGATGGCCTCCCGCAACGAGTTCGACAAGACCATCGCCGAGACCGAGGCGGCCTACATGAAGGTGAGAGAGAGCCCGGACCTCCTGCGCCCCCCACCCACCGCAGCCCGGCCCAGCCCGCCTGACCAGGCTCCCCCTTTTTCCCGCCCCGCTGCAGATCCTGGAAAGCTCGCAGACGCTGCTGAACGTGCTGAAGAAGGAAGCCGGGAACCTGGCCAAGGCCACCGAGTCCAAGAGCCTCCCGGCCAAGGACAGCTGAACTGGGGGGTGGGTGGGTGGGGGGCGCTTGGGGGGCCCTAAATAAAGGGGGTGGGGTTTGCAAAAGGGGCTCCCGGAGGCTTCAGGTGGGGGGGGGGGAGGCAGAGGGTGTGCATGGGGGGAGGCTGGGGCCTTTCCCAACCCCCTCCTCCCTCTCTCTCTCTCTCTCTCTCTCTCACACACACACACCCCTTGCCCCCCAACGCAGGTGGGCAGCAAGAGGGAAAGGAGTTTCCAGCAACTGCAATGACCAATGCGGCTTTTCTTTGTGGGACACAGCCACCCAGATCCTCAGAGGAGGGAACGTGGCGTTTTTTATTATTAAATTTTATAGGCCACCCATCTCGCCGTTTTTTGAGGCAACCCTGAGCCCCGAAGGAAATTTGGGGTGGCGCTGACCTGGCATCTTGGAAATGGTGGGTGGCTCCTGCAGTGCAGGGAGAGCGGAAGGGACAGGTAGAGGAGGTGGAACCTGTAGCTGCGGCTCCCCTGGCAGCGCAGAAAGGTAAATAGAAAAACAGCAAGGAAGGCTTCCCGAACCGTGCACGGTGTTAGCTCTGCGTAGAAAGGGAAGCCCAATTCTATTTTGGCCTAGCGAATAGAGATTGTTCTCCGCCATCCGGCCTCTTTTTCCTCCAGCCTTCTATGCTTTCGCAGCTCCCCTGATCACGAACCCAGCAAAATGGCCAGATGCTATAGGAATCCACGACTGAACGTTGAGGGGATCTAACTGCAGGTCCACGTTGGGATTCTGCACGCAGATAAGAGCGTTTGCATGAAAGAGCCCAATAAATCACCCAACAACAATCATGAAGAAATCACTTGTGTGGTTTAATGAGGAAGGCCAAAGTGACGCCATTCGAGGGCAGAAGAGCAACGTGTACAGTAGTTTCATTTCTCCAGGCGGATCTGGCGGAGTGTAAGATCAAACCCCCGGCTTCCTCCATTAACAATTAAGTGCAAAATATAGAAGAGTCAATTAGCTTGCTTTGATTTAAGGTACTAAAGAAAAAGAAGACAAACGCCTACTCTCCAGGTGGTTTAAAACTTGGTCCTTTCACGTGTGGCTGAGCCTGTCACATAAACACACAGCATTCTGCTTTTGCTTGGAGTGTGGCTGAAATGCTAATGAGAGTGTTTTATTTCGGTTTTCCACAACCTGAATGCAGTGCTAGCTAGTTAATCTGTATAATCCTCCTTCAGATGGTCAGACCAGCAGCTCTGCTGGAAAATATGAGAGCAAAAGGTTATCGCTGTACTTGGAAGAGGAAGGATCAGAGAGCCAGGGGTCTCCATCCGTTCTCCAAAGATTCAGACTTGAGCTGAGTCAGTGCTGAAAAACTTGGCTCCAAGCGCTGGGCAGCAGTGAACTAGCACCGAGTGGCACAGCAAGTAAAGGATTGGCCACCTGACCTAGAGCTTCATTCAGACACGGGGAACTCTTAAAAGCCTGTTACCAGCATTTGGGGGTCTGCGCCGCTGAAAACAAGACTATAAGGATCACAACTGGCCAACTTTTCTACAGGATTCCACAGGAGGCATCTAATGGGGTGATGTAGCTGTGCAGCTGAGCTGCTGCACCATTTGGTCCTAGAAATGCAAGCATCAGATTAGGAGGGTGCATGTTTGCGATTAGCCCTTTTGGGATCTGGAATCTTCTTTAAAGTAAACAGAGTCCACTAGTACAGTTAGTCTGTTAAAGGCAACGTTATTTGTCATTATTTGCCAAGCTGAAAAACTCAATGGCCACTTCTGCTAAGTGTTCGGAGCATAATTTCCCCAAGGTGAGTTCTCAGGCAATATTTTCCGTTAGGTTACAGCTTGCTTGCTTGCTTGCTTGTTTGTTCGGCACCCAGCTCTCATCGCTGAGCCATCTTGTGCACATCTGGCTGGAGGGAGCAGCTCAGCCTAGTGGCTCAACAGCGGTCTGAGCTTTTGGCGGCCCATTCAGCATCTGGCCACCTCAGGCGATTTGTTTTTCTCAGAACAGGAAGGCTGCAGGTAAAACACCCCCCCCCCCAAACTGCCAAAACGAGGTGCATTTGAACGTGAGGCCCTCTGGGGCACCTCAGTACCTGAGGAGGGAAGAGAAGTTTGGCTTTGTGTGCCACCTTTGTCTCTCCAGGTATCTGGTAGGGAAAAGGTGCGAAGAATATATTCAGCGGCGCTCAGGACTCAGAAGTAGAGGGCAGGTTCGCTACTGAAGTCAGACAGGTGGCTTTTTTCGGCAGGGGTGAGCTGTGAAGAGACAAAGATAGCTACCATGCTGTTGTTTTTTTCCAGAGAAGAGAAATGCAGCAAAGCAAAGCCCTCCGTCCCATTTGCTAGAAAGGGCAGCCATTCAAAACTGGAATGACGCTGAGTTTTACCTGTACCACCGGCTGAGCTGCTGCAAGCACAGAACTTTGCCTGCTGCCTCTGCTCTATTGCAGAAAAGTTTATTTTGTCTGTGCATTAAGAAGCTGCCGCCCACTGATACGTCCCACCCCACCCCAAGGCTGTAGGCAAAAGGACAAGAACACGCCTGCCCAAGTCTTACCATGACCTGTTGCTCTGGTTGGTCAGTCTCCTGTGGAAGGGCTCCGATGGTTGAAGGCAGCTTCGGGTACTGTTGCTCCTGCCACTTGTTGAAGCCTAGGGAGTGCTTTGGAGTGTAACCTGACAAACCTATCAAAGAACATGAGGTCCAGAATGAGCAGAAGAGGAAGAGGAAGATGGGGTGGCATGAGCAGAGATTCCACTGAGGAATCCCTGAGGCTGGAAAGTCATTGTCCTCTGCAAAATCTCTACTGGACATCAAGAAGGACGTGGAAGTTTAAAGTATCAACTTCCTGAATATTTTTTTTCTTTCCTTCTATTTTATTGGGGGACGTTGCCGTTTTAGCAGCAGGTGCTTAATACCTACTCCGTTTCTGAATGTGGAAAGTACGGGATAATAGTGCCATTGTCTCGCCCAAGCTCGTTCCAAAAGTGACATCATGATTGGGGATCTGCCATAGCGTCAACCCAAAAGGTTTTGAAATAGGGTAGAAAAGGAGAGGCTTACCTGAGTTGATTGGGTGTGAGTTGACAGTACTGCTCGGATGAGGAATGCGAAAGGCAGGCTTCTCATCCACTTCTGTGGCATATTCCTCTTCCTCCTCCTCCTCCTCTTCCTCCACTAAGGAGCTCTCAGACGGATATTCAAACATGGTTTGCAAGCTGGTCTCGTTGAAGGATATTTTCATCTGAAAGAACAGTAAGAAGTTGCTTTGCAATTCTACCGCAGGTTTCAGGGAGGCAAATTTCTCGCTTATTCCTTCAGTATTTTTATTTGATTTCTATAGCCACCTATTTCAACAGGTGACGAGTGGGAATCAACAGGCAGACAGAACACTTTTGAATGCTTCAGGAAGTTTCCCAAGAGGATATAGAGCAGATTCATAAGCCGCCTTGTCATATTTATTGATATCCCACCTTATTTTTTACAGGTGGGTCAGGCTGGCCCAAAGTTACCCAAATGGCTTTCATTCCTAAGGTGGGACTCAGAATTTACTCTCTTTCTAGCCTGGGACCTTAACCACTCGGCCAAACTGAACGTATAACTTTTGCTCCCTTTTAGAACCTCACATCATCTTCACTGTCACCGCTTAAGAGTCTTGTTCTGAAGCAGCTACTTTAAAAATAAAGTAACTTATGTCCCAAACAAAAGCAATCTTGTTTAAAAGAAACATGAACGGAGAAGCTAAGACTACAATGCTCGCATATGGCCAGTAATCCAATTTCAAGCATTGAAAAGAAAAAAGCAGGCGGTTAGTTCTCCAAAGTCTCTTCTAAGCTATGGAAAATACATCACAAACTGCAAGGTCCTTGTGGCAATGGCCAGGTGCCCGGTGGTCCCATTTGCAGAGTTTCAACAAGACAGAACAAGAACTTTAGGAAAGCAACCTCAACACTGAGCTTAAAGCCTTATGAAATCGATTCACGCAAAAAGCTTTTCAGTTTGTGTAAACATCCACAGCGTCCGGTGGAAAACTTTCGTCGTCATCAGCGCAGAAGCCAATGTTTCCTTGGTTCTCACACTACTTCCAGGTGTTTCCTTATTTATCTCTCCTTGGATCATCATTTTGCAATTCAAATGCAAACAAACACTGGGCCAAAATGCCAGAAGAAAGAAGGCCCGTAAAGTGGATTGCCTTTCAGCCTGTAATCAACACCCCGAAGGATCCTGCAAAGGAGCGCAGGATCAGGTGCCACTGGGGAGATCCAGGTTTCAGACACTTGGGGCAAGTTTGCTAACACTCACTCACACACACACACACACACACGGTTTCTAACTCAAAGTGTCTCCCCAAAAGGGAAGATACTGCAAATATTGGAACAGCAAGCAAGTTAAAACTCTTTGACCGTGGCCAACTTCCACAGTCCACCAAGTTTTACTTTAAACCGCCTTGGACCAAGAACAAGAGGCCTTGGGGCCAAGCACATCCTCAGTCTGGGAGGACTCCTCTCTTTCACCTTCACCTCGTTCACAGAGCTCCTGCAAAGAACTACAACCGCTACTTGGAACTCCAGGAAGAAGTGATCTTCATCACCAAGAACTAACTTGCAGTCCTTTGAAAGTAATCCTCTTTGGATGAAGTTGGCAGGCTGTTTTCTGGCCAACAGGTATCCTGTGGACATAAAGTAATTTCCAGGAATGCTTTATTCTGACCGGAACAGCCAATCAGGCCACGTTCAGGAGCTGTCCTTCCAGCAGGGGCCTCTCATCAATGCTCCTGTTTTCTTTGTTGATAGCAACCTGAGCTCCCAGGCCAAAAGCCAGTTAACTGACCAGAGCAGGAACTGAACACAAGGAGCACAAAGATTCTTCAAGGGGCAGGTTTCCCTCTGGCGACTTCGAAATATAAAAGTCAACCTCAGCTGGGACAGGGCGGGAAGCCCTTCCACAGCTGGAAAGGGAGGGGGAGCTCAGTAGGCAACCCATTGAAGGACAAAGAAAAACTGGCACTAGCCCTCAAC